CTTTCAAATGCTGGATCTTTTTCTACATATTTTCTATATTCTTCTAATGTTGTTGCTCCAATACATCGTAATTCTCCTCTTGATAACATTGGTTTTAAAATATTAGCTGCATCCATTGCTCCTTCTCCTGTTGCTCCTGCTCCTAATACTGTATGAATTTCATCTATAAATAATATAATAGGTATTTTACTTTCTTTAACTTCTTTTATTACTGCTTTTAATCTTTCTTCAAATTGTCCTCTATATTGTGCTCCTGCTATTAATGCTCCCATATCTAATCCAATAACTCGACATTGTAAATTACTTGGAACATCTCCTTTAACTATTCGTTGTGCAAGTCCTTCAACTACTGCTGTTTTACCTACTCCTGGTTCTCCTATTAATACTGGATTATTTTTTGTTCTTCTTGATAAAATACGAATAACTCGTTTAATTTCTTCATCTCTTCCAATAATTGGATCCATCTTTCCGCTTTCTGCTTGTGCTGTTAAATCATTTCCATATTTCTTTAATGCTTCATACTGACTTTCTGCTTCTTTTGTTTCTACACTTTGTCCTTTTCTCATTTCTGTTATTTTTTTGTTAAATTCTTTCACATTAATTCCACTATTTCCTACTATTGTACTAATTTCTTTCTCTTCCATTAATGACATTACAATTACATCTATTGCAAGATATGAGTCTCCCATTCTTTTTTGTTTCTCTATTGCTCTTCTTAATACTTGTTGTGTTGTTGGATGAAGTCCAATATCAACTGGTGGTGGATTTTGAACTGGAATTTTATTCATTGTTTCTTTTATTTCTTTCTTTAATTTATTAACATCACCTCCCATCATTTCAACTATTCGGATAACAATATTTGATTCTTCTTCAACAATTGCTTCCATCATATGAATTGGCATAATGTATGCATTTTTTCTTTCAAATGCTATTTCTTGTGATTCTTTGAACATTTGAACAGTTGCATCTGTCCATTTGTTTGGGTCCATGTTTTATTTCTAAATGCTTGTTATTTGTACAAGTTCCTTTAAATACTTAATGAGGATGATGTGAT